TCTGTCAGAAATACGTTTGTCTCATATTCCCGTAGTGACACTATGGTAGGTGTTGTTTTTTATGTAGGTTTTTCAAGAAACACTAGATCTGTGCAGGCAGCAAGTAATTCAGTGTGCTCCTTGGCGGCAGAAACAGGACCGTGTCGGGGGGCGTTTCCAAAGTATTATTATGACTCCAGTTCTAAATCTTGCAAATCTTTCACGTATGGAGGATGTGATGGAAATGGCAACAGATTTGACACCGAGGCCGAGTGTATGGCGGCTTGTGGAGGTCAGTAGCAGGTGTGTAACATAACTTGTAATTATTCACTGATACTGTGAATGATCAATTTGTCCTTCCGTAAAACTTACCACAACTGCATCAATCATATTTACATATTAAATTAAGTCTCGTTTTATCCCGGTCTTGTACACAAAGCCTTTGCTCCTGTTGCTGCGAAACATTCAACACTTTTTTATGCCACTGAAACATTGGGTCTGAGCTGAAGCGAGCGTCAGCTTTTGACCACGGCTTGCGCATCTTGAAAAGCTTAGCCTAAATTTTTCAAATTCGTCTTTTGTAATCAGTCTTAAGCTTCTCCATCCTTAACCATCCTTGTTCCTTTGTGGTTTATTGTTATCTCTTTGGTGTTTTTCTGTCTTCGTAAATGACTATTTTCAGGTTTCCTTCAATTTCAAGGTAATTTTGTACATGGCCAAAATAATTCAAAATGCCGTTACTGAACTCCTTTAACGGCTGGGCAAAGAGAAAGAAGCTCAGCTCTTGGTGCCAGGCTTATCTTATCCTGGCCTGCGACCACTTCGACTGGGAAACAAGAAACTACTGTTGAAAACTAAAAAAGCGTCACTCGTACTTGTTTTACCTTAGCTAGTTCATCTTTTCTACATCAGGGTTCTTCCGACATTCCTTTCGAGTGACTGATCCGATGACTCGAACATGAAAGTGAGCCAAATACCGTTGGTGGCGTCTAATCATGACGACATGTTATAGAAAGATGTTCTCATTGTGTATCAAACTATAATAATAGAGGGAAGTGGTTGAGAAACCAGGCTAAAATCAAAGAAGCGAACAAACAGGCTAAAATTTATGTTCGAAGGTCCTTGACCTTGGCCTGCACCTCTTTTGTTTTATAGTCGTTGACTATGTATGACGAAATTATATAATCGTAATGCTTCTGTTGGCTACTTACATGAGCACACATAACCACGTTTTGTATTTTTTCAGGTTTTACGCAGGGTCAACCCCTAAAATAGCCACCAAAAACGTGCAACAAAGAACTTTCCCACGTTTCTTAACTATTTCCCTCTATTAACTATGATCAAACGCTGTATGAAAATATTTCTCTACTTTTATTTTTTAGGTCTTGGAAACGAAGATCTCTAAAAGTGTGTGGAATGAACAATTGGACCCTTTAATCTCAAGTTACTAAGTAATTAATTACAACGAGTTTAAAACCTTAGTCTGATTTCTCATCAAATGACAACCATTGGAATATGATGTTGATGAATGCTGAGATTTCGATTAAGGAACCTAATTACAGCTCACATGAGACGATTAAGGATATCTCTTTCTGAATATTTATTGTAGTTTTGTGCTGAAGCACACAAAAGTTATTAAAACTTAATGTTCCCGAGCTCGTTGCCTATTCTGGTTTATTTTAGCGTACTTAGAGCGAAGACAGCTTCATTTTATCGTGTTTTAGACAATTTGTGCTATTGTTATATTAATTCACAACACTGCCAAAATGACCGCGGTCATACATATTCACCAATTTTGATTTTCGCATCATCCAATAGGACACGTTCGATATATCAATATTTTGACATGGCTACGAGGCTTTCAGAACAAACTTCTCTATATGGTGGTGTTTCTTTGCTTCCAAGTCTCTTTTGGGAATTGTGAGACAAAATAAACTTTAGAAAAATTGCACTTTTGACCCGAAACCCTCAGATCCATGTTAGAATATTGATATATCGAACGTGGCCTATTGATAAAGTGTGGTAGTATTGATCTAACCAGAAATAAGATGTGTTTCAAGCCTTGCAAAATGATTGCAAAATCTGTTAAGGCGGAACTTCTGAAAGGAATTCGAAGTTTTGTTTTTCACCGAACTCGAATCTTAAGGTATTGAAGTTTTATTTTGACAAGTACTGTTACATAACTGTAAGTTTAAAGCTCGTTTTCTCAAAACGAGTTATTTTCGCCTTCGAGAAAAGATATCTTGAGAAGGATTTATTCAATTGAGTTAAAACTTTCAGGATTTGTTGTTCTTAGTACGTTCTGTGGGATGAGCATAGAACTTTTTCATGCAGTCCATTCTGTCGAAGTTATGTGTTGAAATGTATGCTAGATTTTCGGTATCAGATTTAACAGGTCGTCATTTCATGTGTTTTTAACTTTTCAAAAATCTCTATGCTTATCCCAGCAAGCTATTTGTCTTCTTTTATAAAATGTAAAAATTATTCCTTTTTGATCAGTTTTAGTACGAGTTATCTTTTCTCAAGTCCTGGCATTCCCCAGCAGGTGGCAGATTTAATCAGCCGGTGTCAGGTTACAATACAGTTATAGGGTACACAAATACTTTTCCCATAATTTTTGGTCTTTAAGCTTGTTAAAAATGTATACTTTGCCATGGTTTGGAGTTAAATCTTAGCCGCGAGAAAATGCTTAAAACATGGTGTTTTTAAGTCCCACCTTAAAACATGATCGAGGAGACAAATGTAAGGTGCTGGTCGCAAGGCCCATTCAGCTTTATGAATTCTACGTTTACAAATTCCTAAATTCTTGGATCGGCCAAGCTCCAAGATTGCGCAGTCAGCAAACAAATGACTGTGAACGAAAAAAAAAAGAGCGCCTCTCCAGTTTTCCATGCACAACATCAGAGCCTGAATATGCCGGAATTGCCTTCCTAGTGTTCCCAGCAGTCAAACATAGCAATCCGATATCACTTTCCGTTTCACCGTGTAATCGTTGCCTCGAAGTTAGAAAGAGTTTGAAGCGAGCAAGAAACCGTTACCGAAAAAGAATTGGTGTAAACCAAATTACGAGCTTGTAAACTAGAGTGATAACAGTTGTCAAATTGTTTATGTACCCTCTCTTCCGCAGACTCTAAGGGGTTTTTATGAGTAGTGAGAATCCGCTGAACGATTTTCGATTTCGCACCTGCACTCACCTTGCACAGTGGCTCTCTATAACGAACGCTTCGTTCGAACCTCTGCAGATTACAGAGGTCTATGTATACGCGGCGTTTTTGCAAAGCTTGACTTTTAAGTCACTTTCTAAACGGTGAGACTTCGGGTCGAGGACAAAATTTACCCCAGCCCGGGAAGGGTGCGGGAAAGCTACGGCACGTTAAGCTTGCAACGGCGGAGAAGTCTTGATTGACGTATAAACTACCCATTAAAATCCTTCCACTGTGTTTTAACGATTTTAATCGCTAAAATATCGAGAAAAAAATTACCTAAAAGCTGTATTTATCGAGGAAATACAGTACCCACAAATCGAGCTACGAAAGCCAAACTTGGCACGAGGAAAAAAAAAAGTGAAATTAGATAATTGTTTAGTTTTGAATTTTACTAAGCCAGGATAGACCAAGTCTGGGGAGGATACAGAATTTTAGAAAAGGGAGTTCGAGATACAAACCGCCAAAGGAGGTCACCTTTAGCGGGGTCCGGGGCATCCGGTTCTCCCCCGGAAATTTTTAAAATTGTGGTCCTCACAAATGGGATTGCTGGTATATTTCTGAGGACAAGTCAGCGTGTTATACATGTCTCATTGTTTTAGATTTAGGGGGTTCGACCGCGACTTCCCAAACTCCCCTCCCCCTTATATCCCCCCTCAGCAAGTGGAGCTTTACTTTGTCATTGAAAAGTCTTTGTGAACAAAGCAATTCATGGTGTTTGTACCTCCTATCGCTGGTCTATTTGATTGTGGGACAACCCTATTGTCAAATGCGCTTACAACACCATAACGCTTCAGATTCTCCTCTAGATGCACTTGTAAAGCACCCTTTTCAAAGTTTCAGAATCAAAATACCAGGCGAAATGATGATAAAAATCATTCTGCTGTTGATAGCTCTTCTTAGTGGTAAGTACAAAATACAACTAAATCGATTTTTTTTTTTCATTACAATATCTGCACATTGTTAAACAGACAAGTGAAATGAATAAAGAAGATTTTGAACGTGGCAAGCGGCTCAGGGCCCGTCTACACTACGCTAGAGGAATTTGAAAACGGAGCTTTATTTTTCCAGTTAGGCCTTCCGTCCACACTAATCCGTCACGAAAACGGAGCTTTTCGTAAAAGCTCTTCAAACCGGAGGAATTGGAAAACGTCGTCTTTGCGTTTTAGTGTGGACAGAAAACATTTGAAAAGCGCCGAGGTTATCATAATCATCTAATTTCCAGTCGAGTTTTACTCAAACACAGAGACAAAATGACCGGTGAATGTTGCGTTTTTAAATTCCTCCGGCGTTGTGTGGACGGAAAACATTAATTCAATGCGTTTTCAGAGTGAATCCTCCGTTGTCAGTGAATTCCTCCGGCGTTGTGTGAACGGGATTTCAAACTGACTTTGAATTTCATTCTTTATCCACATNGCAAAGTTCATGTTCGAAACGTTCACGTGAGATAACAACTGAGCCGATCGCGGTATGAGTTCAAACTACTAAGACACCGACAAAAAATAGGCAGTCAAGGACTGTATGTGTCTACTGCTGCTATTATTTAGAACATTGCATTAAAACTAATCGTATTGCAATAAGACGAGCTAAATACGAAAACGTTTTTGGACTCGTAGCTCATCAAAAATATGCGACTTGTTTCTTGCACCGCGCAAAATATGTCGGCCTTCAAAGTTGTAAAGATAGGACTTTCGTTAACTTGAATTAAATATCTTACCTCCAAGTTGGTTGGCTTTCTAGTAGGGTACAGGAAAAAAAAAATAAAGTGTGATTTTGGAGGCAAATTGTGCGGGAAAATTACACCTTTGATTGTGCGGGGAATTGGGCAGGATTATTGACGAACCAATGTTCTTGCCAAGTCTCAAGGAAAATCTGCATTGACGATAGTTTAGCCAGTTATCTCACTAGTAGTTCAAACATATTCAGCAGTCTTAGCAATCGCCAATTCTTTTAGAAAACTGTGTCTGACTGCTAAAGAAAATCATGTTGCGTGACATGAACTAGACGCGTATGAAACCAAAATAAATAGCAAACCAGAATGCCGCATATTCCCTTATAAATGAGTTCCTTTCTAAAAATGCTCCTGCCTTGATTCAATAAAAATATGTAGCTTGAATACCTCTTCGCATACTTCATGCGTTAAGGGTCGCAAATTCTCGGAAGTTATCCGCAAAAAAACACAACTTGAAAGTTTATGCAAATTAGGTGCAATGTTTTGCGCCTTGTCTCAGGACTGTTGTTTTCGCGAAGGAGTTAATCTATTCGCTCTCCAAAGGAGATAAGACTCTTGAAAAGGGTTTAAGATCACAGCAACACAGCAAAGATGTTCAGCTGCACAATTCACTTGGATCGCCACAACCAATAAAAGAACTTCGCACAATTTCTGTTAGTATGTACAATGTAATCGCCGTAAATTGTAAAAAGACCTGGAAAATTCTTTGCAAACAAGTTCTCCATAAATGCGTAGACAGCTGTGCTTGATTCTTGAACCAAAATGGGTTAAACTCACAACTTGCGATTGAATTAGGAAGATACCCAACGAAGCAACTTGAATGGTAAATATCTAAACGGAACTCTTGGGCTAAAATATCCTGCTTCTTTAATTTATTTTTATTGTGCTCAAGACCTGTTTTCGTAAAGTATGATTTGATACTGCGGTACGAAGCCCGAGTGAACGCTCGTAGAGCGTCTAGTTCGATCATAATCCGGAAGATAAGGAGTAGAATTGTTCAAAATACGATACAAGTGCCACAATAAGCCTACATACTCCTTTTAGCATGGAAAATGAAATAAAAGCAAGACCCCTCTCGGATCTTGCCTTGTTCACCACACAATGGCCTTACAAATTCCCATTGGAAAACCACAGGCTACCCGGTTCTGTAAAAAGGTAAAACCTGTAGCAAAGCACGACATTCGACACTGACGGCCCAGTCTTCAGGAACCGTTGGATCTTCTTATTTAACTGGTGGCTCCCAAGTTAATTTTTTGCTTTACCTCAACAAGCATAATGAAATTTTTGTTTTCCTTTCTTCCGTTCTCATCTATTTTCAATGACTGAGAGCCTGCTCATCTCCTGCCAACTTCAATTTTTTTTTTTACCTATCAACGTTAGTATGTCCGCCTAGTCTATTGCAGTTTATGAAGACATGATTGATCATCGCAGTTATATACACAGCTCAAGCAGTACTAGTTGTGATATGAAAGCCTGAAAAATAAATTTTTGGCTTGAACGGGATTCGAACCCATGACCTGTGCGTTACTGGTGCAGTGCTCTACCAAATGAGTTATCAAGCCAACTGGGAGCTGATCATATTGTGAGTTCGAAATATACCCGTAGATGGTGAAGAAACAAGCGGATATATGAAAGATCATATATTTGAAATAGGTAGACAGATATGAAGATATGATTGAACATCGCAGCTTATTTTATACACACAATTTAAGTAGTTGTGAAATGAAAGCCTGATTTTTTTTTTATTGCAGCGCGTTCAGTAAAAAAAAAAATAACGGACATTGATGTGTCTCTCTTTGTTTCAGTTATGGCCCAAGCCTTCAAGCCAAAAGATCCATCAATTTGTGATTTGCCTAAAGTAGTAGGTCCTTGCAGAGGCGCGTTTCCGAGATTCTTCTATAACAAGGAGACTGGAGAGTGCGAGGATTTCCTTTATGGAGGATGCAGTGGCAATGAAAACAACTTTGAGTCCAAGGAAGAATGCGAGAGCCAATGCAAAAAAGCTTAGACTTAAGGTGATGCTAATAAATTATACATGCAAAGTTTTTAGATTTTGG